TAATCACTGGTTCAGACCTGTTGGGATGAGTCTTGAACCCATGCCTTCTGGCCCAGAGATAGGAACACAACACTGGGTTACAAAACTACTGGGAAACCAATTGTTTTTTTGAAAGACCACTACCAAATCACTTACTCTGCCAATTAAACAAAGAGCAAATTACAAAAGTAAGAAACAAAAAGGTGGGGTAAACAGGTGAGGCAAATAAATCAAGACGGTATTAGAGGCAGAGACAATGCACTCCAGCCCTCAAAGTATTTACCTCTCAATGCTTCAAAAGGTGCTGGTGGACACCGCTTGCACCATCACCAAGGACACCTGGGTATGAACATAACTGTGGAAGACAGGCAAGCAGAGGGTAGGCAAAGGCCTAGTGGTATTATTGCTAGACTATTAATCAAGAAACCCAGTTGATGTTTTGGGGACCCGGGTTCCACCACGGCGGATGGTGGAATTGGAATTTTTTTAAAAAGTCTGGAATTAAGAATCTTCTGATCACCATGAAATCATTGCCAATTGTTGGAAAAACCCATCTGGTTCACTAATGTCCTTCAGGGGAGGAAATCTGCCACTCTCACCTGGTCTGGCCTACATGTGACTCCAGACCCATAGCAATGTGGTTGACTCTCAACTGTCCTCTGAAATTGCCTAGCAAGCCACTCAGTTGTACCAATTGCTACAAAGATTCAAAGAAATGAAATTGGACGGATCACCCGGCATCGACCCTGGCACCGGAAAAGACAACAGCAGAAACAGCCCTGTCGACATGCAAAGTTCTCCTCACTAACATCTGGGTTTTAGTGCCAAAATTGGGAGAGTTGACTCACAGACTAGTCAAGCAACAGCCTGACATAGTCATACGCACGGAATCATACCTTACAAACAATGTCCCAGACACGACCATCACCATCCTGGATATGTCTCACCGGCAGGACAGACCCAGCAGAGGGGACGGCACTGTAGTATGCAGTCGGGAGGGAGTTGCTCTAGGAGCCCTCAATATTGATTCCGGATCCCATGAAGTCTCATGGCTTCAAGTTAAACACGGGCAAGGAAACCTCCTGCTGATTACCACATACCGTCCTCCCTCAGCTGATGAATCAGTATTCCTCAATCTTGACCAACACTTGGAGGAAGCACTAAGGATGGCAAGGGCACAAAATATACTCTGGGTGGAGGATTTCAATGTCCACCAGCAACAGTGGCTCAGCAGCAGTACTACTGATCGAGCTGGTCGGGTCCTAAAGGACATTGCTGCTAGACTGGGTTTGCAGCAGGTGGTGAGGGAACCAACAAGAAGGAAAAACATACTTGGCCTTATCCTTACCAATCTGCCTGCTGTAGTTGCATCTGTCTGTGACAGTATCGGTAAGAGTGACCATCGCACAGTCCTTGGGTAGACGAAGTCCCGCCTTCACATTGAAAACAACCTCCATCATGTTGTATGGCACTATCACCGTGCTAAATGGGACAGACTTCGCACAGATCTCGCAACTCAAGACTAGGCATCCATGAGGTGCTGTGGGCCATCAGCAGCAGCAGAATTGTACTCCAACACAATCTGTAACCTCATGGCCCAGCATATCCCCCACCCAACCATTACCATCAAGCAAGGGGATCAACCCTGGTTCAATGAAGAGTGCAGGAGGCATGCCAGGAGCAGCACCAGGCATACCTGAAGATGAGGTATCAACCTGGTGAAGCCACCAAACAGGACTACTTGCACGCCAAACAGCAAAAGCAGCAAGTGATAAACAGAGCTAAGCGATCCCACAACCAACAGATCAGATCTAAGCTCTGCAGCCCTGCCACATCCAGTCCTGAATGGTGGTGAACAATTAAACAACTCACTGGAGGAGGAGGCTCCACAAATATCCCCATCCTCAATGATGGAAGAGCCCAGTACATCAGTGCAAAAGATAAGGCTGAAGCATTCGCAGCAATCTTCAGCCAGAAGTGCCGAGTGGACGATCCATCTCTGCCTCCTCCAGTGGTCCCCAGCATTACAGATACCAGTCTTCAGCCAATTCGAATCACTCCACGTGATAGCAAGAAACAGTTGGAGACACTGGATACTGCAAAGGCTACCGGCCCTGACAACATTCCAGCAATAGTAATGAAGACTTGTGCTCCAGAACTTGCCGCTCCCCTAGCCAAGCTGTTCCAGTATGGTTACAACACTGGTATCTACTGACAATGCGGAAAGTTGCCCAAGTATGTCCTGTACATAAAAAGCGGGACAAATCCCCAAACCGGCCAATTACTACCCCATCAGTCTCTTCTCAATCATCAGTAAAGTGATGGAAGGCGTCATCAACAGTGCTATCAAGCAGCACCTGCTCAGAAATAACCTGCTCAGTGACGCCCAGTTTGGGTTCCGTCAGGGCCACTCAGCTGCTGACCTCATTACAGCCTTGTTCCAAACATGGTCAAAAGAGTTAAATTCCAGAGGTGAGGTGGGAGTGACAGCCCTTGATATTAAGGCTGCATTCAACTGAGTGTGGCATCAAGGAGCCCTAGCAAAACTGGAATCAATGGGTATCGGGGGAAAACGCTCTGGTGGTTGGAGTCATACCTGACTCATAGGACGATGGTTGTGGTTGTGGTTGTGGGAGGTTAATCATCTCTACAGGAGTTCAGGTTAGTGTCCTAGGCCCAACCATCTTCAGCTGCTTCATCAATGACCTTCCCTCCATCATAAGGTCAGAGGTGGGGATGTTTGCCGATGATTGCACAATGTTCAGCACCATTTGTGACTCCTCAGATACTGAAGCAGTCCATGTTCACGTGCAACAAGATCTGGACAATATCGAGGCTTGGGCTGACAAGTGGCAAGTGACATTCCCACAATGCCATGCTACGACCATCACCAATAAGAGACAATCTAACCACCGCCCCTTGACATTCAATGGTGTTACCATCACTGAATCCCCCACTATCAACATCTTGGGGGTTACCATTGACCAGAAACTCAATTGGACTCATCACATAAACACAGTGGCTACAAGAGCAGGCCAGAAGTTGGGAATACTGCAGTGAGTAACTCATCTCCTGACTCCTCAAAGCCTATCCACCATCTACAAGGCAGAAGTCAGGAGTGTGATGGAATAATCCCCACTTGCCTGGATGAGTGCAGCCCCAACAACACTCAAGAAGCTTGACACCATCCAGGACAAAGCAGCCTGCATGATTGAAACTACACCCACAAGCATTCACTCCCTCCCTCCACCACTGACACTCAGTAGCAGTAGTGTGTACTATCTACAAGATGCACTGCAGAAATTCACCAAAGATCCTCAGACAGCACCTTCCAAACCCATGACCACTTTCATCTAGAAGGACAAGGGCAGCAGATATATGGGAACTCCACCACCTCCAAGTTCCTTTCCAAGTCACACACCATCCTGACTTGGAAATATATTGCCATTCCTTCACTGTCGCTGGGTCAAAATCCTGGAATTCCCTCCCCAATAGCATTGTGGGTCAACCCGCTGCAGGAGGAATGCAGCAGTTCAAGAAGGAGCTCACCACCACCTTCTCAAGGCAACTAGGGATGGGCAAGAAATGCTGGCCAGCCAGCGACACCCACATCCCACGAAATGAATAGAAAAAAAAAGAATTACAACATGTCCACGCCTGCTGTCTCACTGAGAAACTTGTTTTTTTTCCCCCCACTTAGAACTTCCCACTACCAAATTACCCAATTAACTATTTAACAAATAAAAATTACAAGTAGTGACCACCAGGGCACAACAATAAAAACAAAAATGAAAAAGGCAGGGACAATAAGTGAGAAAGCTAACTCAAAATAAGCGAGGGTGATAACCCCCTCGAAGTGGAGGAAAAACTTTCTTATATAAATTCACCACCAAATGTGAAGCTTTTTATTTATTTTTTATATACAAGTAGTAAACTTAAAGGCACATTCCAATTGTTAGCACCTGTTCGTAATCATAGAACATGCCCTTATCCATGCTTAATGGGTCCTCTTGTGGTGCAGTGATAATTTACCTATCCTTGGGCTGAAAGGTCCAGGTTCAAGTCTCACCTGTTCTAGAGTTGTGTAATAACATCCCTGAACAGTGTGATTAGAGAAACAAGTTATATAACAATAAAAAAACTTCTGCATAATGCAATAATCATTTGCAACACTTTGAAACAACTACCTGATCGTGTGACTGGCCACCCCTTTTTACATGGGCTAAAGGTACCTAGGCTGGTTTTGTACCACACAGCTCAAGATATGTGATCTTTTAATTCCACACCCCCAACACACATTGTCCATCTATTGACAAATCACCTCAAACAGTTGCCTGAAACGTGCAGTAAAGCCCCAAGTGAGAGACTGTTGTAGCTTTAGCTGTGGCACCTCGCGCATGCCTTTAGTGGTTTGGCTCATCCTGTTTTGATCAGAGCACAAAATAAAAAAAAGCTATGTAAAATATCCTCTACCATGTCATGAGCAATGTCTATTAATTTTCATTACTAATACTGTTTCAATGCCACAGTGTGAACTTAATCAACCACAAAAAGAATTAGAATAAATGGACATTACCCTCAGACAAAACTTTATAACAATCCAACAAAAGTTATGAAATATGTTTCTACCATCATGCATATCTAGAATGCCACATCATTCAGTAATGCATCATAGTCAGGCATCATGCAGCAATATACTAGTCCACATGATCTGATCTGTGAAATACATCAGAAGCAGTTTGTGTCCAAAAGCATAATTATTTTGAACTTCTGCTAACTATAAGACAGATCAGATCTGTCACTGTTCAATAATAGTGAGCAACATAATATTATCCTAAAACTGAAATCAACTGTACAGATTATTGACCTCCCAAAAGCTCAAGAAAAACATTCTGAAAATCTTAATAGTTTCAACTGTTGCTTATATTCTAAAACAAGCAGATTTTAGCTTTGATTGAGTGTTTTGAACCAAGCACAGAACAATAATGCTGATTCTGAGGATTTAACAATTAAGTACTTACCTGATATTCCTTCATATTTTCCACAGTAAAGTCAAACCAGACTCTAAAACGAGGATTGCATGTATCTGGTCTGATAAACAGATCGTATTCAAATTCTGAGATGTAGTCAACACGACCTAGATTTCCTGTTAAAAAAAAAACCCATACTCATTGTTCTGACTTTCTGTTAATACAATAATAATTTGTTTATAACACATTTAACATTGTAATGCATCCTCAAGCACATCAAATAGGCACTATACAAGTCTGACATTAAGCCACAAAACTGAAATATTAGGTCAATTGCCTAAATATTTTTCTTCAATTCATTCATGAGTGTGGGATAGCTGACCAGATCAGCTTTTCTTGCACTTGAGAAGGTGGTTCGAGTCACCTTTCTAAAGTCCATTTAGTGTAGGTGTACTAACAATGCTGTTAAAGAGGAGTTCCTGAATTTCATTTAGCACTAATTGTAACAGCAGCGATATAGTTACAAGTCAGGACAGCATGTGATGTGTAAGGGTAACTAACAGGTTGATGGTGTTCCTGTGTGTGCCTGCTACCCTAGTTCTTCTAGGTGGTGGAGGTCATGAATTTGTACGGTCCTGACAAATGAGCATTGATGAGTTAATGCTGTGTATCTTGTAGATTGTACATAATGCTACCATAGTGTGTCAGTGGTACAGAGAATGAATGTTTAAAATGGTGGATGGAGTACTGATCAAGTGAATTCATTTGTTCTGGATAGTGCCAAAGCACATGAGTGTCCATGGATCTGCATTAATTCCAGCAAGTGGCTCAGACTGCTGAGTTTCGCTTTGTAGATAACTTAAGTAATGCTGATAAAAGACACAATTTGTCAAAGTATTTCTTCTTACACTCATCTAGACAATTCTCGAGAAATACCAACGTAAAGTGAAAAACAGGGCTAGGCAGTTAACTACCAGTCATCATCTAACTGGTGCATTCTCCAAGGCACACCTCTACCAGAGTCCACTTGCCAATCAGCGCTCTTTTCATGCAGTATAAATGCTGCTTTGCCCTTTACATTTATATTTCTTGGAAACTGTCCTAATGGGTACAAGATGAAAAGTTTCAACATAATTTTTTCCCAGCAAAACCCAAGTCTGTACTACTAAATGAACAATTCATAGGTAAGTGGACAGGCTTTGAGAAGTCAGATGATTTTCTCAATGCAGAATCTGATCTGCTGTAGTAACCACAATATTAATACAGCTTGTCCAGTTAAGTTTCTGGTCAATGGTAACTTCTCAGATGTTGATGATGGAGAACTTAGATATGGAATGCTGGTGAACATCAAGGGGAAAAGCTCAGATTCCTTCCCATTGCAGATCATCATTACCTAGCACTTGTGTAGCACGAATATCATTTGCCACTTATTAGTCCAAGCCTAAATGCTATCCAGATTATGTTGCATGCAGGCATAGACAGCTTCAGTTTATGAGTTGTAACAAGGGTTGCCAATTTAAACGTATTCCTGAAGGTTTCATCATATTAATTGCCCTGGGCTCCAGCAAACAGCCAGCTGACAGATCCTTGTTACATGCCACCTTTCTACAGGGCACATTATCCAACAGGATGTTACTTAATCGTCGGCCAAACAGCCTGTTTTGTTCATTTTTCAACATTTTAATAGCAAGTATAAAGGAAGGTCCAAAGAAAATGGTAAAAAAAAAGTGCACAATCTTTTTAAATGTCCCTATGGCTTTTCTCGAGAAATGTAGACTGCAGTGTTCTGGAGATTCAATTTCTGGAGGTTTCAGGCCTATCTAGATGGTTGGCAACATAAGAACATAAGAACTAGGAGCAGGTGTAGGCCATCTGGACCCTCGAGCCTGCCCCGCCATTTAATAAGATCATGGCTGATCATTTTGACACTCCGCTCCACTTACCCGCCTGTACACCATATCCCTTAATTCCTTTACTGTTCAAAAATTTATCTAGCCTTGCCTTAAACACATACAGCGAGGCAGCTTCAACCGCTTCACTGGGCAGGGAATTCCACAGATTCACAACCCTTTGGGTGAAGAAGTTCCTCTGGACCTCAGTCCTACATCTGCTTCCCTTTATTTTGAGGCTATGCTACCTAGTCCTAGTTTCACCTGCTAGTGGAAACAATCTCCCTGCCTCCACCTTGTCTGTTCCCTTCATAATCTTCTATGTTTCCATAAGATCTCCCTCATTCTTCTAAATTTCAATGAGTATAAGCCCAGTCTACTCAGTCTCTCCTCATAATCCAACCCTCTCAACTCTGGAATCAACCAAGTGAATCTCCTCTGCACCCCCTCCAGTGCTAGCATATCCCTTCTCAAGTAAGGAGACCAAAACTGCACACAATACTCCAGGTGTGGCCTCACCAGGACCCTATACAGCTGCAGCATAGCCTCCCTGTTTTTAAACTCCATCCATCTAGCAATGACAGACAAAATTCCATTTGCCTTTTTAATTACCTGCTGCACCTGCAATCCTACTTTTAGCGATTCATGCACAAGGACACCCAAGTCCCTCTGCACAGCAGAGTGCTGCAATTTTTTACCATTTAAAACATAGTCCATTTTGCTGTTATTCCTACCAAAATGGATGACCTCACACTTATCAACATTGTACTCCATCTGCCAGACCTTTGCCCACTCACTTAGACTATCTATATCCCTCTGCAGGCTTTCAGTGTCTTCTGCACACTTTGCTCGACCACTCACCTTAGTGTCATCTGCAAATTTTGACACACCACACTTGGTCCCCAACTCCAAATCATCAATGTAAATTGTAAACACTTGCGGTCCCAACACTGATCCCTGAGGCACACCACTAGCCACTGACCGCTAACCAGAAAAACACCCATTTACCCCTACTCTTCGCTTACGACTAGTCAACCAATCCTCTATCCATGCCAATACATTACCTGTAATACCGTGCGACTTTATCTTATGTAGCATGCCTTTGGAGTGGCACCTTGTCAAATGCCTTCAGGAAATCCAGATACACAACATCCACAGGTTCCCCATTGTCCACCATGCAAGTAATGTCCTCAAAGAATTTCACCAAATTAGTTAAACATGATCTACCTTCATGAATGCATGCTGGGTGTTCCCTATGGGAGAATTTATATCCAAATATCTTGCTATTTCTTCCTTAATGATAGATTCAAGCATTTTCCCCAGTACCGAAGTTAAGCTAACTGGCCTATAGTTACCTGCTTTTTGTCTACTTCCTTTTTTAAACAGTGGTGTCACACTGGCTGTTTTCCAATCTGCGGGAACGACCCCAGAGTCCAGTGAATTTTGGTAAATAATTACTAGTGCATTTGCTATTTCCCCCATCACCTCTTTTAGTACCCTGGGATGCATTTCATCAGGGTCAGGAAACGTGTCTACCTTTAGCCCCATTAACTTGCCCAACACTGCCTCCTTAGTGATAATGATAGTTTCTAGGTCCTCACCTGCTATAACCTTCTTGCCATCAGTTTTCGGCATGTTATTTGTGTCTTCCACTGTGAAGACCAACACGAGAAAACTGTTTAATGCCTCGGCTATTTCCTCATTCCCAGTTATTAAATTGGCCTTCTCATCCTCTAAAGGACCAATGTTTACCTTCGCCACTCTTTTACAATTTACATATATTTATAGAAACTTTTGCTGCCTGCTTTTATATTCTGAGCTAGTTTACTCATAATCGATCTTACTTTTCTTTATAACTTTTTTGTGGCTTTCTGTTGGCCTTTAAAGATTTCCCAGTCTACCAGTTTCCCTCTAATCTTTGCTTTTTTGTATGTATTTTTGTTTTAATCTGATGCTTTCCTTTATTTCCTTAGACATCCATGGCTGACTATTTCTTTTCCTACAGTTCTTCTTTATCACTGGAATATACTTCTGCTGAGCACTGTGAAAAATCATTTTGAAAGTCCTCCACTGTTCCTCAATTGACCCACCATAAAGATTTTGCTGCAGGGCTGGATGAACACAGCAGGCCAAGCAGCATCATGGGAGCAGAAAGGCTGATGTTTCGGGCCGAGACCCTTCATCAGAAAAGGGGGAGGGGAAGGGGGTTTTGAAATAAATAGGGAGAGAGTGGGAGGCGGATAGAAGATGGATAGAGGAGAGGATAGGTGGAGAGGAAACAAACAGGTCGAAGAGGCGGGGATGGGGCCAGTAAAGGTGAGTGTAGGTGGGGAGTTAGGGAGGGGATAGGTCAGTCCAGGGAGGATGGACAGGTCAAGGGGGTGGGATGAGGTTAGTCGGTAGGAGATGGGGGTACGGCTTGAGGTGGGAGGAGGGGATAGGTGGGAGGAAGAACAGGTTAGGGAGGCGGGGACGAGCTGGACTGGTTTTGGGATGCGGTAGGGGGAGGGGAGATTTTGAAGCTTGTGAAATCCACATTGATACCATTGGGCTGCAGGGTTCCCAAGCGGAATATGAGTTGCTGTTCCTGCAACCTTCGGGTGGCATCGTTGTGGCACTGCAGGGGGCCCAGGATGGACATGTCGTCTGAGGAATGGGAGGGGGAGTTGAAATGGTTTCCACATCAAGCAGATGTTCACCTGCACATCTGCCAATGTGGTATACTGCATCCACTGTACCCGGTGTGGCTTCCTCTACATCGGGGAAACCAAGCGGAGGCTCGGGGACCGCTTTGCAGAACACCTACGCTCTGTTCACAGTAAACAACTGCACCTCCCAGTCGCGAACCATTTCAACTCCCCCTCCCATTCCTCAGACGACATGTCCATCCTGGGCCTCCTGCAGTGCCACAACGATGCCACCCGAAGGTTGCAGGAACAGCAACTCATATTCCGCTTGGGAACCCTGCAGCCCAATGGTATCAATGTGGATTTCACAAGCTTCAAAATCTCCCCTCCCCCTACCGCATCCCAAAACCAGTCCAGCTCGTCCCCGCCTCCCTAACCTGTTCTTCCTCCCACCTATCCCCTCCTCCCATCTCAAGCCACACCCCCATCTCCTACCGACTAACCTCATCCCGCCCCCTTGACCTGTCCGTCCTCCCTGGACTGACCTATCCCCTCCCTAACTCCCCACCTACACTCACCTTTACTGGCCCCATCCCCGCCTCTTCGACCTGTTTGTTTCCTCTCCACCTATCCTCTCCTCTATCCATCTATCCGCCTCCC